TCAGCGAATGTTTTACAAGGCTTCTTGAAATAACCTTTTATATTAAGGAAAATTGTTGGAACAACTTAAACAATTGCTTAAGTTGGTAACACACGAATGAATAAAGGTTGTTTAAATAAATGTAACAATTTTCACAACTGATCACTTTAATTTGTGTGTTACCAATTTTTTAGGGTTGGTAAACAATTTTCTTTTTTCAAATTACAAACCATCCAAACTAACAAACCTGTGATTAAAGTACGGGCGATAAAAAGGCAAATAATAAATGATTATAATAAATGTAATGTGAATGGTACTTAAAGATGCATTTTATGTTTATTTAACAGTTATTTCAGCCACCTACAGCACAGTGAACACCACGTTTAGCAGACTGATGTTCAGAAATGCAATTAACCTGAGAAAGTCACAGTACAGAGTTTAACCCAGTTCTGCACTAAATCTGAAGCCTCCTAAGATGTATATTAACAGATCTCATCAGATTCGCCTGCAGGGAAAAGTTTTGAGAGCATCTGATCTCTGACTCCCAGTTTCTCTGTGTCGCCTCAGGCCATCTCAGTTTTATCAGCGGTGAAGGATCTTACATTTTTTAAAGTGGAAAATAAAAATAGCTACTCCATTACAAGTCGGGGGATTTTAGCATGCAATGGAAGTATTAACAGCAAATCGTATGTAAACATTAAGGCTTACACTGCAGGTGATAGCTGAAATACTGGGTAGATGTAAAGCAATGTATAATGATTTATGAGATTAGATAGGTTTTGTGGGCACAAATATACAAACAGGACTATTTGCAAATGTCAGAGGGATAAACACAGAATGGTCATTACTCCTTAAAACTCTACTTTGGGATTTTTCCCCATGCAGCTGCATCTTATTCTGTTTTTATTTATTCTGTGACCCAGTTAGAATAAAACTGAAACTCACTGTTATCTAAAGACTTTCAAAGAACTCATCAGTCATCACAAGCAAAATACCCATAGATGGTTGTTTAATTTTTAAAGCCACTGTGTGAACTCAATCATATGATCCACATTATTAGGAGATGCTTAATTATCCTTGTTCTTGTTGCTGTGTGTGTGTGTGTGTGTGTGTGTGTGTGTGTGTGTGTGTGTGTGTGGTCACTTAGATGGTTTCATTTACGGTAGTTCTTATCACACTGTTGCATGTTCAAGATCTCAGACTGATTTGCGATTGGTGACCACACTACTAAGGCTCCATCCCCCAACTGCTACTGCACAGACTCTGGCTCCAAATGTGCAAGATAGCAGCGTTCTTATCCGGGAAACTACGGTTTCATTTTTATGTCGTCCATCTTTATGTACAGCCTATGTTTATCCTTTTTAACAGAGCTGAGACATTAGTGATTATACTGACTGATGAAAAGATCTTATACAGTTTTATTCTGTGTTATCAGAGATAAAACAAAATGCATCTAGACACTTGGATTTTGTTTGGATTTATTAATATTTAGTCCATCCTCAATATAAGGCAACTCATAAATGGTGGACCAAATATAGATCCCTGTGGTATTCCATTTTTTGATGAAAAAAAATTCTCGATTAGTGGAGAAATGATCACGTCCTGGTAATATAGCTGTATTGTTGAAATGATCTAATACCTTTACAGTCACTTCATTTCACAGCATTAAAACGTGTGAGTTTGTACAGAAATAGGTCACTCAGAAAGCTGGGATGAATCAAGGAGCTCAGAAACTCTGATCTGCAGGCGGCCCAGGAGGAGAGGCAGTCTGGGAGCATGTCTGAGAGAGAAACTGAGAAAAATAGAGGTAGAGTGAGATCAAAACCAGCGCTAGATGGTGCGAAACGAATCCAGAGACAAACAGAAAGAAACATCAAGAACGAAGAAGAGAGAGCACATCAGTGGGATGCACACAAGGAGGCAGAGATACAGAGAAAAGGGGGAAAGAGAGCTTTTGAAAAGGCAGGAGTGGAGTGCAGACACTGGGGAGGAATCAAAATTCAAAGGAAGTAAAAAATCCTAAAGCAGAAGAGAGAGGGGCATGCTGAGATGCCAGAGAGAACAAAAAAGAGCGAATCTGATTTGATATTTGTTGATGGGATGAACATGATTGTCTCACGTCCTCCTGTCGAACCCTCAAGTTACTGTAGAGGAGGACGTCAAGTGATGGACGGTTCACGTCTCAGTCAAACTGAATGAAATCCATCCTGTGAAACGGGTTAGGATTCGGAGGCTCGTCATTTTTGACAGATTCAATCAATTTATATGGTTATGGGAGTCAAATATAAGTATAACATGTCATTAATCATGATATATGTTGATCCAGACCTTGGCTATGTTGTAAATGAATGGTATTAAAAACAGTTGGAATCGGTCTGGTAGATAAACTGCAACACAGCGGCATGCAGTGGTTACTACCTTGTCTTATGGGGCAACATCTGCAGTCCATGAAATGTCCCCCATAAGTGATTTGTTTTGTTACCAAGACTCTTGTAAAGACCCAGAATAACAATTTGAACATTTTATTGGTGAGAAAATTACTTTTAGTGGACATTTTATGGACTGTCGCAGTTGCCCCATAAGATTACAATGTAACCACTGTCAGCGGAGGCAATCTACTCTACCTTTTAAAAAAACATTAATTTACACACCAACATTTATAAACATAGGGCCCAAGTTGAAATATACTGTAATTCTTCTTTAAAACACACTAGGATTTTTCTAATAATCAATTTCTTCCTATAGATCCATTTCACCTTAATCTTACACACTGAACCTTTAAGTTATTCTGTGTGATGAGGAGAGAGCTCTTATCAACAAGAATTACTAAAAATACCCAATAACGTGTGCAGGAAGTTCCATTAAGTTCCATTACGGGGCAGGGAGGAACAGGCAGACTGGAGAGCAAAGTCAGCTGGGTAATTATAAGCGGGAGGGTGAGGGTCGGCTGGGAGTGACTGGGGGATTTCATGAGATTATCCTATAAATAGTGTGGCGAGTTTCTCTCATCATCAACGCCAGGATGCAACGCTGGCACACGACTGATAGAACTGTTCTAAAAATTAGCCCTGGGCTTATACCTCCGCACAAGTTAATACCATTCTCCATGAGACTTTACGAGTTGCTGAGCAGGATTTGAGTGTGATGAAGTTAATCACTGCACTGCAGGGAGGAGGGGGGAAAAAGTGATCAAAACCCTGGCGCCGTCTTTCACTAAAAGCTTGTTTCATTTATGCAATGCTACATTTATCAGTCTCATAGGAGTCTATTGTGATCTGAGCTGGCTTCAGCAAAGACAAATTGACCTTCATGTTAGATTGAGTGCAGGGATCAGGGTATGCAGCTCATGGCAGTGGGGTGGCATGTCTCTGCTAAGCTCAGTCAAAGACCGGAGGGGGTTATAATAGGTCAATCTCTACCGACTCTTCAGCCCGCCTACCGTGTTGAAAAGATGACATTCTAATCAAACATCATAACCTCAACGATTCTGACAAACTGCGGCTCACAGGTACAGTTCTCTATAAAAATGACCTTTACTGGTTTTTAAGAGGAAAACAAATCTTGTGGCTCACGGCTTATTTTTCTGTCATATTTCTGTAACTGCTGGTAATGAGCCATTTAAAAGTCAAAAAGAGGCTTTTCACTCTAACTATATGTCATGTATATTTTTGCATTTTACAAGTTTTAGTTTTCATACTCATCCACCAAGGAGGGTATATCGTATTTGTATACAGTATTTTAATTGCTGTTTGTTTGTCTATATTTAACAGGATTGCACAAAAACTACTCAACAGATTTCCATAAAAGACTTGTGGAGCAGTGGGGCATGACCCAAGGAAGAACCCATTAAATTCAGGAATTAACACTGTGAGATAGAATATTTTTCAAGAATTAAAGGTAGATTTTGAATCTCGATGAATTGTAGGTCATTTAATAAGGGGATTGTTGGGCTTGGTGGTGGTATGTGCTGTACTGAGTGACAATCATGGGCAGGATTGTTTGGCTTTGACAGAACCTGAGCGCTGTTCTCTTGCTTGCGACCATCACCTGGTGTAGAACTGATTCTCAAAGGATTGACTTCCATTGCTGAATCAATTCAAAAGGTTCAGTCTAGTAATCCATTAGTAGAGTAATGCTTTAGTTGCAGGTATTCAGGGACATTCTCAAGTACACACACACACATACACACACTCACAACACACAGATGGGCTGTCAATAAGGCTTGAACCAGAATCTTCAGTTATAAGGATGACTATTGAGCGTTTTTCGGTCGACTGAGCTCAGCCTCTGTGTGTAAACCAGGAGACGACTGTTACTCAGTTTTTATTGCTAACTCGGTGACAGTGTCACAGAGGGTGCAACTCTTCGCAGAACCAATTAGATGGTTATATTTACAGGAGAGGTGTCATGAGAGACGACAAAGTGGGATCCAGCTTCACTGACTCACACAGACAAAGACGTAAAACCACCAACATGCTGCAGACGCACAGTATCTGCTGCGTGTGTCATCCCTGTCCCCATCCCGTCATCTGTCAATCTTCAGCCTCCACCATTCATGTTCTGGAAGGACGTCGAGCTCCACTCAGCTCCCACTCTCTTTCCTTGGCAGCATGCAAAATCACACAATCACACTTAAAGTGTCAACTTTCACATCCACCTACTGTGAGTCTGGAAATTGAACGCACAACCTCTCCTCCCCTTCTTCCTACACTAGCTCGGGGACAGGGATGCAAAGTTTCATCGTTTCTACTGCAGTTTGGTTTTAGACCAACGAGGAGCGACGTGTGGCTCGTTGGGCTTCTCTGCTCTAATTTAAGTTGTCCTACTTCCCATCATGCCTCAGGGCTTTAGTGGAATCAGATCCAACAATGTTCTTTCTAAGATGTCGCCTTTGTATCTTTGACTCCATTTACAGGCAGCTGAAATACATCCCTGTTTATACCTGTGTCTCTTATGTGCCTCGAAAGTGTCCAGATGTCACTTCCACTATAAGGTCAGCAACACTGTACCCAAGCAAACAGCCTGGTGATGATAGGAGTCATCTAGTTTTCTTCGGACTGAATATTTGGCCCAAATTGAGATCAGGCTTCTGGTTTCACTGAACTTGTAGATTAAAAGCATATAAGGCATAATATAATGCTTTTCCTAAAATACACTGTGCTGCTGATGACATGTTTGCTGGTCGTTCGCATCATTGTTAGCACATAATGAGATTCAGGCCTATTTGCAGGTGGGCCCCTGCATGGATTCAGAATGAGCCACATGAGCAGCCATTTTTACGCTTACAGGAACATTTATTACAGATTCACCAAAACACGAGCCGACCACATGAAACCACATAGAGTATGTGCACTCTGTTCATAAGACTGTAAATAAAGATGGAGGACATGACCACTCCCAAAAGTGGTGCCAATGTGTCTTGATCGCCCCCTGTTGTCTGGCTGGAATAGGTCAGGAACTCCTCCATGTCCTCCAAGATCAAATTTATTAGATTTGACAAGTTTGTGAATTCTCAGTCTCATGTGGTCTAAATGGATAAGAAGTAGTATTATGGCTCTTATCTGTTTTCACAAACATAATCAATGTTTCACAAATCAAAAATGATGTATAAAACCACTTTAAGACATTCAAAATAATGTCTTGTACGTTACACAACTTTAGGTGCAGCAGTGGAAAGTCAGCTTAGAAATATTCCTTAACTTTTCTCTTAAAGGTCCAGTGTGTAAGATTTAGGTGAAAGGGATCTATTGGCAGAAATGTATAGAATAATTCTCATGATGTTTTAATTGTATGAATTGTAGTTTTCTTTACCCCAGAAAAAGCCCATCATATTTAAATACTTTATATTTACATGGAGGGGACCCTCTCTACGGAGGCCACCATGTTTTTCACATTAGTCCAGACTGGACAAACTAAACACCTTTTGAGTTTTTATGACAACTGAAGCTGCCACAGGTTCTTTTTCATGTTTGGGAGGAGAGGGTGAGGTGAGGGGTGTTCAGCTGCAACATGCAATTTCACCTCTAGATATCACAAAATGCTACACACTGTACCTTTAAATCTCACATTAAAGGCAGAGAACCAGAACTTCAGCATTGTGGAGAACACCCAAACAAAACCTGCTCATTAGCAGATGTGCGTTATAGTTAATATGCACTGCAGTAGCTTTCCATAGCAAATGTGACTCAGCCGTTTTAATGCAAAGGACCACAGTGAAAAGCGCTCTTCAACGTATCTTCCTGTGTGGTTACACCTTCACATTCATGCTGCTCTTGCTCAGCCTGTAGAAGCAGAGAATTGGACTTCAGGAGGGAATTCCTCTATTGCCTCGTCACCAAAACGTTCTTCCCCTCTGCTGCCTGAAACTTCATCTGTCAAACCTCCTCAGCCTCAACCGTCTGATTTCCTCCGCCTCGTCCGAGACGTTGAATCCATACGGAGGAGGAGCTCCTCTCTGGCTGTTTTCTCCTACAAAGTAAATATACATTAAATGTTGCACAGGACAGCCTGATGATCTGTGGGTGACAATAGGAGCAAAGCCTAAAATAATAGCTCTACTCCATGCCAGGCTTCAATGAAAGAAAGGAGATCTAGCAGCAATATTTATTTATTGCAAGCATCACAGTCTAGAAGCCATTTTATCTTTTGAATATCAAGCTGTTAGATTGGAAAGTCCAAAATTGATTGTTTTTTATCTGTATTTATTGCCCTCCAAAACCTGTAGCTTCATTTTTACCTGAAATGTCTGAGCTGCTGTCACTTTATTTGATTAACCATGACAGGATCATCAGAACCTGTGATTGTAATCTCCATATTGATGAAACCTCGGACTGCAAGGCCATGGACTTCATGCCACTTCTGAACAAGCAAACTTGGAAGTCTGGCGCATCAAAACAGTTCAAAAGTAAAGAACCTGGGTGTTGAACTTGATTCAGAACTAGATTTTAATGTAACAAAGAATTCTCTTGTAGATTTATGCTTTTATCCGAATCTATCTTATTTCATATCTTTGATTTCATTGTAAAGCACTTTGAGCTGCATTTTATGTTTGAAAGCTGCTTTATAAATACAATGTATTATTGTAATTATAAACTAAAGCATTTAGTTCACTTGTGCAACTTTTAGGTTTTAGAATTGAGTGTCACTTCAATTTATCAACACTCTCTGTCTCCCTCTTGTACCTCTGTCATTCAGACTGTTCCTGATCGCCGCCTCTAACTGCTCTTCCTCCGTCAGTCCACCCATATAAGACGCTTGATGAGTTGATGTGTCATCTGGTGAATGCTGACGATATCCTGAGTATCCGCCATCAGTGCCACTATAGCCTGCAAACACGCACACACACGGTATAAGTTGATGAATATAGAAAAATAATTGTTAAAATTTAATACTGGCATAATTTGAATTCTGCTTATAATCAACAAATTAAATGAACAGGTCTCTCAGTCTGTGGCACTCACACAAAGTTTAATTTGTCTTAAAAGGTTTTGCTTATTTCCTGACTCAGCTGGAGTGAGTAGTATCAGAGACTGTTTATAAAAATGACAGAGTGAAGTGAAGCCAATGCTGATGTGGGTGACTATCATGTAAATCAAACTATGTTGTTTGTGTGTTCATGTTAATGAACAGACACGTCACTCAGTACAGTGTCAGTGATGTGTTTTTGGACAGCAGTGGAGCAAATGGAGAAATAAGGTATCAGAATTTGGACTTTTAGGACAAGGACTTTAGTTCAATGCACTGTTACCTGAGGAGCCTGAAGAGTTGTAGTGTCCACTGGGCCTGGAGTCATGTCCACTTACTGTCACAAACTCTGGTGAAAATGTAAACAGACTATTTCGTTAATGTGCATTTAAATGCGTGACTGGATTCATAGTGAGGCACACAACACAGATCTGCATGGACTCAAAGCTGTCACCGCTTCTTGTTCAATCATTTTTTAAACAACTCACTTAGAGAAATGTATTCATACAATCAGTAGACAAGTACACATGTATGATTTAAATTATATTTGAATCACAACGACAATATAGAAAATACTTTTAAATGACCACAAAACATTGAGGACATGTCTAAACAACCTCCTTCAAATAAGACGTGAATGCTAACCTGCACATTTCATCATGATGGTCTTCAGTGGTCCAGAGGTGTAGAGCAGACCCACCAGGATACCTGACAGGTGACCAACGAATGAGGTCCTGAGGAAGCAGGGCAGAGATTCACTCCTAGCTAATGAAACACTGCCCTCTCATGGACCCTTTGATTCAGTGCACCGGACATTAGTAACCCTACCTCCATTAGTCATCAACGTGCCTGTAACTGTGTGTTCAGTGCTAGAAGCAATGGTCAACATGTGAGTGGGAAATTCCCAAAGTTCAGGGACGACACAGAGCCGAATAATCAGAATGACTCTGGTGTGAAGATTCCCCTGTTTTGTTTGTATGTGTATTTTTTATGCAGGGTCGGAGACAAAAAAGGGAAATGGCGAACCGACTTATTCTGGTTAGTGACTGCTCACAAAATATATTTGAAAACCAATAGTACTCTGTATGAAACTGTTGTAGAAAGATGTGATGCTTGGACTATCTCTTGGATTAATGTAGTCTAGCATGTGCGGTTTCCTAGAGAAAGTAAAAAATATATTCTTGGTGACTTTTCTCTCTGGTCTATAATGTGAACATGCTTCAAGGGCTATCTACAAATTTTTTTTTAACTTTTGCTTGTATTTTTCAAAGGATTAAATCATCTTCTCTGTTCGCCTGCATCGTTGGATTAAATGTTTAGAAAATTGCAGAATGTGCTGCCAACTGCAGCAGAGCATACCACAGGCTTGTTATGCCTTTGTCAAGTTAAAAACATGTGAACTGGTCGTTAAAGCCGAGGTCATCCCTCTGAAGCATTAGCATTTGCAGGGCAAGCATCACACTGGCATCTCTGAGGTTCACACGGGAGGTCAATTCAAAATCCTGGTGAATTTTTTTAAACAAAGTTCTGTTTGAACACTCACCCAGGGGATGTCATGTGGATTATCACTAGCTCTACCCAGCTAGCATAGCGGTTTGCCACAGGGATACCCATCACATGGGTCACACCTCCAGGGTGGTAATGGTTACAGAGCACCTTCAGAGCGAACAGGACCCCTGGAAACACATAAACACCATACAGAGGTTAATAAACAGGGGGACGTGTTGCCATGGTGAGACCATTGGCTGTATATAAAGACAATCATAGAATGAATTTAAAGATGGAAGACGTGTCTCTTCCTTAAACGATCCAGAAATGAAGCCAAAATATGCCAGAAACGAGTGCTGCCATCTTGCCAATTTAGATCCAGAGTCTGTGTAGCAGCATTCAGGAGATCTAAATCTTTTAGTCTGGTTTTATATCATCAAATGATTAATTGAAACCAAACTTACTGGAAAAAAAATGCCTAACAAGGGAGGAGCCAACCAGCAGGTGGTGATCAAGATATTTTCACTTCACATTTGGGCAGCTGTTGTCCATCTTTATATACAGTTAAATATATTGTTAATTCCAAATTTTACCTGTAAAATTACATTAGGTCAACCTTTGGTAATACTAAAGGTGATCTTGTAGTTTCACTCTATACCTGAGAAACCAACGGCACAGGTCATGCTGTACGACTGGTCCTGGGTGAGCTCTGTTAACGCTGCTTCCAACACCAAATAGACAAATCCAGTGAGCAGAGAGAAGACTGACAGCAGGTAAAGGAACCAGGCTCCGCCCAGCCGCTGCTCCAACCTTATCCCTTTCCAGAGGAACGACGCCATGTTGAAGTAGAGATGCCAATCATCCACGTGGTGCAGCGGCGATAGCAGAAGACGACGCCAGTCCTTCAACCAGTACGCCTGCTGCACACTCACACAGGTCTAAGGATTGAAAAGACAGTAGTATTCACATTAGTACTCATACTAACACTGATAATATACTAAGAAGTTACAATGCATGTAATTCCTGAAGGGTGGTTTTAATTTTACCTGTTACAGTTGCAAATACAATTTACTATCACATTAAAGAAAGAAAAAAAAAGCGAATTTTCACATCGATAAGAAGGTAAGATGCTTTTATATTTGTGTTCAGTTTTAAAATTTGAAAAAATAATCCAAACTCTTATCGTCAGTGCCGTGTTGGTGAATTACCTGCATCAGAGGAGCTGCGGGGAACAGGAACAGGTACACGTTGAGAGCCAGAACACCCAGGGTGATGGGTGGGATCTTGTCCAGACCCACCTGAAACACCTGGGAGGCCAGGAGCAACAACCCCAGGTGGGACCCCCTCTGTCGGTTCCGCATCCTGAAAAAATAATTTTCAGTCCTTTCCTCTGTACCAACCACCAGTTGAAGTGTTTCAGATGCAAAGGCTGCATCAGAAATAAAATAACATTCATGCTTTTGCTGCAGATCTATGAGAGGAGAGCTACTGCTGGTTGATAGCCGTGCCAGACTCAATAAGGGAGTTAGGTGATATATTAGCAGGAGCAGGATAGGCGCCCAGCTGTTAGATGCACATCACCGTCTTAGAAACCTTATAAGAACAAATATTCTGTAAAGCTACATACCCTAACCCTTTAATCAGACAGCTGGTCCAGTCACCCCTGCACCGGGGTAACATTGGGATCCAACACATAAAGACTCAGTCAAGACAAAGCATATGTTCTGTATCTTGTTGAGAGCAGAAGAAATCTTTAATCACAAACTTAAAAACCTCTCTCAGCCTTTGAATTAAATGTTGCTCATAGATTTTATTGCATCTACGTTGTAGATTGAATTCATTTAAACCTGTCTCTTAATAGTATAGTACAATAGAACGTTGTATTACTGTTATTATTTTATAACTTTTCAAATCAACTCTGTGGTATTTCGTTGTCAGCATTTTTATTCATTTATAAAAAAATATTTGTAGTTGTTTTATTTATATGTTTGAAGCATTTAAACACCTGGACACTTTCCCCCAATATGTACATGACAAAGAGCAGAGAAAAGGGAATAAGATGTGACAGGCAAATAAACAGTCGGTATCAGAATCGGGTTTTATTGCCAAGCAGGTTTACACATACAAGGGATTTGCTGTGGTGTATTTGTGCAAGTATAAATATAAAAACAAGAAACAAAAGTACTATAAGCACCAGGGGAAGGATTGCGCAATATGTTGTAAGTAAGCACGACAGACTGGATTGAGGAAAAACATACACATGTTAATCGTAACATCAGTCATGGCGTTGTATTTCTCTTTATTTCTATTCGTTTTGTTAGTATGTGCGCTTCATGTTGTTGTGCTATCTTTTAATTAATACAGTTTATTTTAAGTTTAAGACTCTCAGAGTAGTTACGACCTGAAGTGGCGTTCACGTCGGGGTATCATTTTTCCGATTATTCCCGACGCTACTTGAATGCACTATTAGCCCCAACTCTGTATTAAGCTAACCACAGCTGATAGTTAATCGAGAGTTTATGGGGCTTTTTGTAAGTTAGTTGTTTTAATGACAAGCAACAGACACGTTAGTTAAAGTCAGAAACATTTCAAATAAACTCACTTTCACTTCTCTTCTTCGTCCTGTGACAGAGGGGCTCAGGCTAATGCTAATGCTGATATCAGATACCAATAGTTTGGCAGCTTCGGTTAGCTTCAGCAGGATGATCCGCTCACACACGGAAACGCACTCTTCTCACCACGGTGTTGAACCACAGTGAAGAGTCCGCGGGAAAGTGTGTGTCTCTGTGTTTCATCACTTCCTGTTTCCAGCGAGTTCTTGGCAACTGGTATGTGGCTGTCTCGTGACAATAACAAAGCCACGTGGTCTGCGCAGGCGCATCACGGGTCTATTTGTCTGTATATACATCTATCAATCTGTCTGTCTGTCTGTCTATCTCTCTCTGTCTGTCTGTCTGTCCGTCTCTCTCTTTGTCTGTCTATCTCTCTCTCTCTGTCTGTCTCTCTCTCTCTCTGTCTGTCTATCTGTCTGTCTGTCTATCTCTCTTTCTGTCTGTCTGTCTGTCTGTCTATCTATCTATCTATATCTGTGTGTCTATCTATCTATATCTAAATCTATATCTGTGTGTCTATCCATCTGTCTATATCTGTCTATCTATCTAT